GTCGCCATCTAAACTTTATATTAAGAAACTACAATTTGCCGTAACTGAATGGGAAACGTTTGAGGTCTTATAACATTTTTAACGTGTAATATATCAATATGAAAGTTCTGGAAAATGTAATATCGAAGGATGCTTCATAATTTAATGTCTCGTTATTTTGGTTAGTTGACGTGATTCCGTTTATATAGCGCCGTCAAATAACACCATTTTAAATTTATTTTTTATTTTAAAATGTAAATTATCTGTACAGTTTGTTGCCTACTTTTTTAATTTACTACATCCAGCCGAACGCTTAAGCAAAATATCGTGGACGATGGGACGTCATAACTCGAGAAATATTTTTTTCAATATTAGAGACTGTGGTCTATTAAAAGCTAAATAATTAAACAACAACTTAAAATATTCGCAATATCAAGAATTAAACTATTTTTGAAAAACTGCTCTTTAATTTGACATTAACTTTATGATTTTAAGATGCCTAGAAAGAAAGTTATAAGGCGTCAAAAAAGCACCAAAACGTCATGCACGGTGGGGTTGCACCTTAAGCATCAAGTGCTCAGCCGTCTCCTGCTCCTCTCCACAAGCTCCATACACCATATCTACTTCCTTATATCTACCTCTATATTTGTTAGTCCGCGACACTCCGTGCCTCGCTTCGCACAAGAAGCTCCCCTAAAATTGTCGAAGGTGAACGGGCTCCTTAGTGATGTCCTTCTTATTCGATTTGTAAATTTTCAAGGCAGATTTAGTGTACATGACTACTTTCTATAAGTCGCCGACCGATTTTTCGGACGCCGATAATTCGGTCTTGTTCGATCTTTTGGTTCTAAAGAAGGAACCGTCACCTACCCGATAGAAACAGTGCATTTTCATGACCTATGTTTCGGACAGCTTAAAGTTCGAAAGTTCGAGTTTTCGGATAAAATCGTTGCGAGCGATAAGCGGGAAACACCACCGAGAAGCGGCCATTTTGCATTTTATGTTGGCTGCACATGGATTGGCTTTGTTTGACAGCGCTACCTAAATATTGCTGAGTCCTACTGCTAGGTGACACTGTACGGCTTTTTTTCTCTAGCTACGCGTCATTATCATCACCATTGTTGTTTCCATTTTGCTTTGTTCATCCGCCACTGCAGTGATGGACTTGCGCCTCTAATCTCGGTCGTTTCACGGTGAATCGTGTTTTCGGGCTACGCTGGCTTGGACGTCATTGCCCCATCTGTTCTTCCGCTACAGCGATCTGTTGCTAAGAAGCGCAGAAAGTACTCGACCATAACGCTAGAAAGGAAAGCAGCGATTCTCAAGCTAGCAGAAAGTTGTCGAACGCAAGCGGAGGCGTAAACTAAGACAAGGCGCGCAGGCGTAACCTAAAGCAGGGCACTATTTACGTCTTTTTAAAGCCCGCTTGATGTAATTAAGTCGTTTTTTAATCTGCTGATTATTCGGACTGCTTTTTTATTCGGAAGTTTTTTCGGTCCCTGCGACATGCGAAAAGTCGGTGGCGACAATTTGCCTCTCTTTTGTTTTAAACTCTCCTCTTAAATTTTATTTTCTCATCCGCCTCCCTGTTATTGCCCATATATGTATATATAGATTTTCTGGTCGGCCTTCTCCATTTTGTATTAAGGCATCTCATGTGTAGATAACTAAGAACTCTACGTGCCATCGATATACCTTCATATCTTTTAGCGTACCCTCAAATTCTATATTACTGCTAGCTACCCACTCCCGAATGAGGACCAGCCCACTACGCCCTCTACATCTTGGTTCTGTGGTTTACCGTGTGCTCTTAGAGCCAATCTACCTACTCCACGTTGTTTTATTTTTTGAGCCTTGACTTGATGTCCAGTTTTATGCACAAAATAGCATTGGCAAGAGCCGGGCTCGGAACTAGAACCCTTTTCCAGATCTTCCTGACTACCTTATACCTGTTATAACCCCACAAAGTTCTCTTTTTTGTTACAGCTGCAATTCCGTTTCCCCTACCAGTTACACATTTTGCTTGTTCACTGAGAAATTTTATGCCCTCGTTAATCCATACTCCTGGATACTTGTACTTATCGACTCGATCAATTTCTAATCTTTGTATTTTTAGCTCTGCAATTCCGTCATCGTTGTACATGGCCGCTGAATTCTAAAAACTGAATTCTAAGCGCAACATGTGGCCCTCTGCGCCACATATATTCATTCGGGACTGAAGCTCTATGTTGCTATCGGCCATCAGCATACATCAAAGCTGGTCTGACAATGGCTGTTTAACCTTTTGACCTTGCCTGTTAAAATTTCCTTTAATACTTGGCAGCAAGAGCAGCAATGACGACAAAGGGCATTCCCGTCTAAGACATCGTTTTATCTCAATCGGCGTTGTTGTTTTTCCTCCCCGTGTTATTAGTACCATATTAACTTTGTGAATTGCCCTTAAAATTTTAAATATTCTGTCGTCCACATCTAAGCTCTTAATTATGTTCTACATGTTGCCTTGAATTACATTGCCATAAGCCCCCTTTATATGTAAGAATACTAACCAGAGTGGTCTACCTTCCTTCTCTCGTACGTCGATACACTGTGTTAATGAAAATAAATTATCTTCCAACCTCCTTTCTTTTCGGAACTCATTTTGTAGCTCTCCAAGCACAATCTCCTTTTCTACCCATGCCTGTAATCTCTCGTTGATAGTCTGCATTGCCGACCTGTAGACTACTGATGTTACTGTTATGGGACGATAATTACTTTCGTCAGCTTTGTCCCCCTTCCCCTTGTATAGTAAACTCTTTCTGATTAGTCTCCCTTGTTCCCGTGCAGTTCCTTTCATGATAATGCTCCTTACTGCTTTCCTTTACGCTTCCTTAGACTTACGTCCTACCTGTTCTATCAACTTTATTGGTGTACCATCTGCACCTGCCATGTATCCGTTGGAACTCTCAGTTTTAGAGCGCAGCTCTTACCCCCCATTCACACTGGAAGCGGATCCGCGTTCGCGAAGCGGTTGCGAAAGCGGTTGTATAAAGATCCAGTGCAATTGCACGCGCATTTGATGTCATCGTGTGCGCGTGCAATTGTACTGAATCCTTATACAACCGCGTTCGCAACCGCTTTGCGAACGCGGATCCGCTTCCAGTGTGAATGAGCCCTTAGGGGCCCGTTTCCGGCTTGAGCGGCGTCGCCGTCGCCGTCGCCGTCGCCGTCGGCGTAACCGCGCGGTGCATTATGGGTAAAATTCCCCGCTAAATCTAGCGGAAAAATTTCCCCGCTAAATCTAGCGGAAAATATTCCCCGCTAAATCTAGCGGAAAAATTTCCCCGCTAAATCTAGCGGAAAATTTTCCCCGCGAGATTTAGCGGAAAAAATTCCCCGCTAAATCTAGCGGAAAAAATTCCCCGCTAAATCTAGCGGAAAAATTTCCCCGCTAAATCTAGCGGAAAAATTTCCCCGCTAAACCTAGCGGAAAATTTTCCCCGCTAGATTTAGCGGAAAAAATTCCCCGCTAAATCGAGCGGAATTTTCCCCGCTAAATCTAGCGGAAAAATTTCCCCGCTAAATCTAGCGGAAAATTTTCCCCGCTAGATTTAGCGGAAAAAATTCCCCGCTAAATCTAGCGGAAAAAATTCCCCGCTAAATCTTGCGGAAAACTTTCCCCGCTAAATCTAGCGGAAACTTTTCCCCGCTAGATTTAGCGGAAAAAATTCCCCACTAAAGCTAGCGGAAAAAATTCCCCGCTAAATCTAGCGGAAATATTTTTCTGAGGGGTCACGAGACCCCTCCCCCCCCCCCCCCCCACCCCGACAACAGGTAACCCTCAGTACCCTTCACTCCTCCTCCTCCTCAAGAGCTGCGCTCCAACTCGGTGTTACAGGGAGTTGTAAACGGCTTTCATTTTTTTTCCCTTTCCCATTATTTTCGTCTGATAGCCTCAACATTATACTTCGTTTCAGTTTCGGTCCGAGCGCGGCCGATGTTATGAGGCAAAGGGCCAATCAAACAGCGCAAAAAGCGCACCGTCATGGCGTGCTCTCTGCGTTTGATAGGACTAGCCGGCGTAGGAGCGCGCACAGAGAGACGGCGAATAGCAGCTGGTCCTATCAACTGCAGAGAGCACGCCATGACGTTGTGCCTCTTTCGGTGTTTGATTGGCCCTTCGGCTCATAACATTGGCCGCGCTCGGACCGAAGCTGAAACGAATTATAGTACTTGAACTATCCTCCACGGGTGAGGCGCTTCCTGTGTATCCTCGCGGCTTGACCTTCTCTGTCATTATGTTGCTATATATTTCGTTGCTTCATCCTTTTGAACTTGATTGCCCTCAGGCATGACAATATACTTCTGCTCTGACTTTATTTTATAACTTAGTGGATTCAGGTGGTTCAAAACTTCCCGGCGGCCTTTATATATATATATATTTTTTTAAATTTACTTTAGACAGCCATTGAGATCCTTCCTTTTAAATATTTTCATTAATCAAGCAGGATACCTCCCGTCTACTTTAATGAATCTATCCAACTTTTTGTTTATCTCACTATCTGGTCCCATTGCAATTGGAATGTCTGTTCTCTCTAAAAGCTCGTTGCCGTTTCTTTATTTCCTTCTTTACATCATCATCCCACCAGCTTTTAGCTTTGAGTCTCCAAATTCTTCTCCTTTTGACGAATACTTTAGACAGCTCTTTTTCAAATAGCGTAGTTAGCCTCGTCTAGCTGAAATTTGTTTCAGTTTTCCCAGGAATTATGCCATATATTTGTTTACCGACTCTTTCCAACTCTTTCGCTGCATAAAACCTTTGGTCAGGTTGTTTTTCTTGCTCTGTACCGAAATTTCCTTTCCTAGCAAAGCTCAGTTTATTTCGCTTGTGATCACCCTCTTCATCTGTTTTCATTGTCTCGATGGTAGGGAGCAATTGCGGCTGCTACGGTGCCGTATGACCTCATGTGCAAGGTATATATAGAAACATCACAAATCCAATCTGGATTGCATTAAACACTGATAAAAGTGGCTACAAAACTCACCCCGACGATTCCATTAGAGAAGAATCCTGCACCAGCTGTCCAGTTGTCGGCGTCCATTTTGAAGAATCCCGTCAGCATCAGTGCCACTAGGACGAATATGTTGACGATGGTGGATGTGTTCAGGAAGACCACGAAAGCCTGGGTATTAGAAACAAAAGCAAGAAGCACGACATGGTCTATAGTCAGAAACAACTATGAACGATGGTGGTCTAAAAGGGCAGGTGTAGGATTGCGCGGGCGAAAGCGGCGCCGCGATTAAAGCCTCCAAAGCGGAGCATAACCTGTACCCGGAAGGCAGTGCCATTCTTCACGTGGGACTACAAGAGATGAAAAATGCTGACAAAAATCAGCGGATTGATTGTTTTATTTTACTCTGTAGATTAATTGTCTAGCAGAAATGGGAACACTTCCATTTATATATCTATACGTTTCGCCCGCTCCGTTTCATTTAGAACATACTTTGGGATGAATTAACTGGTCATTAGTACGGTGGCGCTGCCTGCACTATACAGGTTCTAACAGGTGATATAAGGACAGTGAGGCATAAAACGTGGGACCGCTCCCGGTAGCTGGGAGCAGCGAGCGATCGCCACAGCTCTCCTTGCAGCCCGCAATGATATGACGGGACAGCCAACATCAAAACATATAACCGGATATATGGTACAGGTGAAAAACACTCGTACATATTAGGGACATGTCAACTAAAGTATATTTTTTGCAATAAAGCTTTGGTTGCGTCTAGTTGGATCATATTATTAAAAAGGCTAAAGGCCCCTACGCACAGTTGCGTTTCAGAGCGATTGAGTGCTTTAGACTGCGTTGTGTCAAGAAACAAAAGCGAGCCACCGGCACATCTGTGCTGCGTATGGAGTGTGGAATCTAATACCCGCGCCGCACGGGCAACTCGAATGCTATTTACAACGAATGGCATTTCTGTGATCAACGAATCGGCTCGCGATCTGTCGCGCGTGGAACGCCCCACGCTCCGAGGGTCGCGCGCTGATTTGCCGATCGTTCAAATGTCATTCGTAGTAAATGGCATTCGAGTTGCCCGTGTGGCACGGGTATTATAAGAGAATTTTAATCGACTTTTTCATGCTTGAGAAGCGAATAATCGAGATAGATTAATTATTGTTTTCACATGTATTATTTGGTATCTTCTCGGTATTGAAACCAAGGCCGCAATCATGACGTCTGCACAATTCACAAACTAGCGGGGTCCTTTTTTACAGGAACTAACATCTTCATTCAGCATAAACACGTGCAAAAAGACGTATTTAAGCCAGTTCTATCAAAATAGTGGATCTGGGATGCTAGGTTTATGCCAGACCCGCTAGGAGAACAAGCATCCGTACAGCGGTTCCGAAGGCGCGTACTGGCGGCAGTTGCTTGCTGCAAACTACGTGGGTTGATGAGATGTTGCTCTAACATCTATGCGCACTTAAAACCACTCGGACTCGTAAACATTCACGAGCGCAATGAGCTTTGATCGTTCAGTTCTCTGCATGAAGTTGGCAGTCATGTTAGTTAATGTTTCAAACCAAAACGGGAGAAGTTATCTAAGAATACATGTGAAAACAATAATTACTCTATCTCAATTATTCGCTTCTCAAACATAAAAAAGTTTAATAAAATACTATCACGGCACAGAGATACGAATTTTCAACCCACATTTCACACGTCAACCATTTCTCCAACCAACGAAGGATGTATGCACCTTGTAAACACGAGGAGGGGCTTAGCGAGTTGCGAATTCCACCTCCTGCACCTAAATTGCGTCTAACGGCGTAAATATTGTGCGTAATATTTTTTCGTTGAAAAATTGTTTCACAATCGGCGTGTTCCACTTATGATTTTTTTTTCCCTTGCAGTTTCACTTTAAGCTGCGCGCACACTTCACACACATCGTCCAAGATATATTATACAGACGCTGCCTGAAACGTGTTTCTTCCTTGGGTGGCCCAGTCAGATTGGTCAGAGACAACGGCCTTTAGGAACGTACATCAATGAATGAAGCTGTTTGCTTCCATGAATGAAGGAGACGTGCTTCAAACACGTTTAAGGCGCTTTCGCAGATAATTCTGGCATCATGCCTGCAGCGAGCGAGGCGTCCTTTGTATAATGTAGCAGCAGTGGGACTGCGAGCTGTGAAACGGAGTATAGATTAAAGATGACGATGCGAGGGCCAAGGAGATCTAGACTGCTTTAAAGGGACCAAAAAAAATGTTTGCTCTTAATTATCGCTATGCAATTTAGTACAGAAATTCAGACAGTTGTGAATTTTATTGGTAAAATAATTACGGGATGAACTTACCTCTATCAATAGAAAGAAAAAAATATATATCCGCCAATCTGTGGCGTCTTTAGTAGACGGAAATGCGCTGTTTGCTGACGCTGCCGAAAGATGGCGTAAGCAGCACCAGCGGCGTTGTGGGCGTGCCGCGATTACCCCCGCAGGGGGGCGCCGAATCGGATCAAAAGTTTTGATTACGCTTTCCTCAGCACCGGCGCGCCTTTCAAACATTTATGATTTTCGAAGTGTGATATTTGGTTTATCTTGATCTTCAAATAAATATAAATGTGAGAACGGGAAGTTAAAATGATTTGCTTTAAATTCCGTTCATATTTGTCAATTTGCTGTGTGCTTTGTTTGTCTGTTTTATTTTGCCTGCTTTACGGTTTGTTATATACCAGGGGTGGCCAAACCGCGGCTCGCGAGCCGCATGCGGCTCTTTGCTGGTCCAACTGCGGCTCGCGGATCTCTCGTAAGGGGACCCCCCCCCCCCCCCCTTTCGCCCCTTTCCGCGTTTTCCCAGGAAAAAAAAGAGGATTTCAGAATAAAGCACACTGCAGCTTGCAGTTTGACAGCCTCGTGCTCCCATACGTACAGTCGTACAGCCTTCTGCATCCATACGTACAGTCAGACTCTAAACAAAAGTTAAATTTGCCCCCCCCCCCCCCCCCCCCCGCGGCTCTTAGAAGTTCCGTGGTTTTGTTTGCGGCTCTTAGGCCAGGCCAGCCTGGCCACCCCTGTTATATACGAAGACTCCGGAGATGTCGAGACAATATGGAGACGTGTATCGGGTTTAGAACTCAGCAGCCTTCCTCTCTATTTCTCAAGCTACATTTTCTGTCGCGAGGACCCACTCCGTGAATGTGAAACATCTCGCGGCATCGACTGGTATATAACATTCCTTTCCCCTTAACATTGAAAGCGCTGAACCGGCTTCCGGACTCGAGCGGAGCATCGTTGAGTTGCACTCTCACAGACTTCACACGAGGTCTCCGGTGACTGCTTTGGGCTGCCGTCACCAGGATCCTTCGACTTGGTTGATGGACCTGGTACTGGTGACGACCGTGGAGGAGCCGGCGTGACCTCGTTGATCTCTGGCGGCAAGTTACGCAGTCGGTCAGCATGGCGTGTTATCACTTTGGACGGAGTTTCGACGACTGCCGTGCGTGCTCCAGTAGTCGTCGTGACTTTTTCAGGAATCTCCTTGTTTCCTGTCGCATAGTTTCTGGCGTACACCGGGTCCCCACGTTGAATCGGCCAGTCTGTGTTTTGTGTAGATGCTTTCGAGTGGGTTGGAAAGCATGCGTCAAGTCTCGAGCGAATTAGATAACCTAGCAGCAGTTTAGATGGTGACTTTACCGACCTTGCTGGTGTCCCTCTATAATTGAAAGAACGGTTGCCAGGCTGGTTGTAATGTCGTCGTTCTGTATTTTCTTCAACCCGTTTTTATAGTTCTTAACGCACGTTCCGCCAGACCATTTGACTGTGGGTGAAATGGTGCGGTTCTGATGTGAGTAATGTTGTTCTTCGACGTGAGCTTCAAGAACTCGGCACAAAAGAAAGGTGTACTATTGTCCGAGACCAATGTGCGGGGTATCCCGAAGTGGCTAAACACATCTCGCAAACACGACACAGTGTTTGCGCTTGTGGCCTGTTTCATGGGAACGGCCTCGATCGACTTAGAGTGTGCGTCGACCACTACCAAGATAAAGGGGCCTAGAAGATCAACATGTACACTGGACCAGTTTTCAGGTGTTTCGGGCCAGTTAACTGGTGCTTTTGACGTTGGCATGGAAAACATTCTGACACAGGCGTCACACGTCGCTGACGTGCGCTTCATTTTCTCATCCAGTCCAGGCCACCAGGGTTTAGATATTGCTATCGATTTCATAGCCGAAACTCCCTGATGACTCTAGTGCAGAAGCAATAGCAGGCGCCCCCTAGCCTCCCTAGGCACAATGACGTGGCGCACGACCCAGTATACCAGGTAGTGCGCCACCCGACAGCTCTAGTTTCCCTCCTTAAAACGGTTGTAGGTTCGAGTGTAGGCTCTTTTCACATGTGGGCCATCCATTTATGATGCAGTTGACTGACTCATAGTTACCTGCGCTAACTATGAGTCAGTAGCTTTCATTTGTTTCAACTCCCTGGTCGCCACGACACCCTCCTCTAAGTGCTCCACAGCAAGCACATTTTCGGGAAGGTTACCTTCGGGACCTGTTTCTGTTTCTGCTGTTGCTACTGCCGGTAGCGGTGGTCTGCTCAGGGCATTCGCATTCAGCATTTCTTGTCCAGGCTTGTACGTGTAGCATGTAGCGGCCCGCAGACATAGCAGGAGTTGAGCGGTCGGAGCTCAGCAACCCAGGAGCGGCTGATGATCCGTGACAAGGGTGAATTTATGTCGAAATAGGTAGTCTCTAAAATTCGTTACGCCAAGGATCAGAGTGACAGCCTCTCGCTCCAATTGAGAATAATTTATTTCGACGGCTGATAGAGTTCTTCATCGAAACCGGATGGGCTTGTCTTCTCCACATATGTTTACTCAAAGTTTGTTTTGTTTGTTTTCTAAAGCTTTGTGTCACTTTGTACTTTTATGCACCGTAATGTCTAGTTTGACGCCGTCCGAAAGAGCAAAAGTGGCTCTTTGGTCAACGGAGTGTAAGGGGAGTCGGAAGGCGGTCCGTCGGCGTTTTCGAGCGGAGTTTAGAAGACCTAAGTTCGCCCACGGAACTAAAATGGGCACGGCGCTTCACTGAGGACGGGAACGTCGAGAACAGACGATCGTCTTCCGCAAAATCGTCGAAAGCTTCGTCATCAAAGGTGCTAACATCGGAGCTTTATCGTCGAAGCCGCATCTTTCAACTTGAAAATCAGACAGCCTCTTCGATGTCAGCAGCACCTTCGTTCGCTGCACCTTACGGATGCAGTAAGTGCACTCGTTCAAGATGAAGATTCTGCATGAGCTCTCTGGAGAATACAAAACAAAACGCCTTGCGTTTCGTCAACAGGAGCAGCTCGGCACCGCAGATGACCCCTGCCACCAGCAATTCCTTCTCTTCACCGACGAGGATATCTTCCACATTGACGGCTAAGTCTCCGAACAAAACTGCAGGTATTGGGTCGAGTCCACACCCGCATTGGAACCAAGAGCGAGTGGCCCACTGTCGAAAGGTATGGTGCGGCATTTTCAACAAAGGTATCGTCGGTCAATTTTTCTTCGATGAATCGGTCACCGGCGACACACACACTTCCGCATGCTGCGCAACCGGATTCAGCCTGAATCGGAGGAATTCCACATTCAAAGGGTACTCTGCGAGTTTCCACAAGACGAGCCGCCTACGCACTATGCGTCAAATTCAAGGAAATGGCTGGAAAGCACATTTCCCTGAAAGTGGATGGGCAACGGCTCTTCGACGGTGCCGTGACTCCCGCGTTCCCCAGACTTGACGATCTCCAACTTTTTCGTGTGGGAGTTCGTCAAGAGCCAAGTCTACATAGGCCACGCACACACGATAGATCTTAAAAGACGCATTAAGGTCGACTCTCAGGTGATGTCCAGTGGCATGCGCTAAGCCGCCTTCCGAGTATACGAGCCATCACTCTTTAAAAAGCCCTTGCGTCTACTCTCTTGCACAACACTCGGAGAGCCAATCACCGCTACTCACGGAGGCAGCTCAGCAAATGACGATGCCGAAACATATGTTTAGACCAAAAAATGCAGTCTGAGTTGTGACATTAAGCAACGCAAAACGTCACGCTTGCATGACTTAATTTCACAACTCAGACTGCGTTTTCTGGTCTAAACATATGTTTCGGCATCATTATTCGCTGAGCTGCCTCCGTAAGTCGCGGTGATTGACTCTCTGAGTGTTGTGCGGGAAAGTAGACGCACGGGCTTTTTAAGAGTGAAAGTCTGCAGACCTGCATCGGGAACTGTGGGAAGGACTTGCTGAACTCCTGCGAACGAACGGTTTCTTCTTTGCCGTGTTTATTGTGTTTGCTGCACCTTTTTTTTTTTCTTTTTAGTTTTACAAGTTCGAATATGGACTGAACGCCTTCATTTTTGACAAATAACTCGAAACTTCAGAGCCATGAATGGCCTTTCTCAGAGTTCCCATATTTCACGTATCGGTAAGCTCATACAGGAATGGCTTGAGCCATGGCCTTCCGCATGCCAGCTTACGCCATTTCTCGTGGCGTCGCCAAACAGGGAGTCTCCTAAAACACGTCGCAAATGGCCTAGGAGTGATTTTACAGCGCAGCTCTTATGCGTCCGTTTTCGGCTTGAGAGGCATTGCCGTCGCCGTCGCCATAACCGGGCGCGTTGCATTATGGAAATAATCCAAGCGGGCGTAACCGCGCTTTGCATTATAGAAAACTTTCTCGCTAAATGGGAAGAGAACAGGAGAGGAGAAAGGCGGGGTACGGAGGGGGAGGAGGGCATACCCTCCCCTCCGTACGCTCCCCCCCCCCCCTCAAGAGCTGTGCTCTAATTCGGCATTAAAAGGAAATGTAGGCGTCTCTAACTTTTTTTTTCTTTCTTTTTGTTGAGGTAAGTTCAACCTCTGACTTTTTTTACCCGAAAAATCTACCATCTGTTAGCATCCCTGCGCTAAATTGACGCGCAATGCGTTAAGAAACCGATTTTTGCGCTTCGTTTAATGTGAGTTAGATCCGTTTGGACCTAGTGTCAGATCGAATGTGGGCATACTGTGCTTTTACCTTAGGCCTAGCGACGAGACCTGCGGTCAGGAGCACGGGAAGAGCGGCGGCCACGACATCAGGGCACGGGTCGAAGCCTGGCACGTGGTAGTTGGCGAAAGAGTCCTCGAAGAGGAGCCGGTCTGCCGGGAGCGCCGGCGACGCGGCCGAAGACGACGACGACGCGCCGGTATCCAGCGAAGAGTCGTTGCGGTACGCTCTGAGTGCCGTGTACGAGAGCGCGGCCAGATAGCGGCTCAGGGCCTTGGCCGACAGGCAGGCCGCCAGGCCGTACTCGAGCACCAGGGCCCAGCCGACCAGGAATGCGAGCAGCTCGCCCGCCGTGGCGTACACGTAGACGTAGGCCGAGCCCGCCGTCGGGAAACGGGTGGACAGCTCGGAGTAGCACAGTCCTGGAAAGAATGCAAACGATGCCAGGTCAGCACTCAAAACCGCATCTATTATCTAGTGCACGTCGGAACGTAGTGTGCACTACGTTCCGACATTGATATTGCAAGAGCAATAGGAATATTAAACAAATTCCGACAATTACTACCAAAAAGGGTGAAACTGCAATTATATTATTCGCTGGTCTACTCAAGCTTACAGTACTGTATGTTAGTATGGGGAATTACTACACAAACAAATAAGGAAAAACTATTTATTTTGCAAAAGAAGGCTGTTCGATTTATTGAGAACCTTAAAAGGTACGAACATTCTTTCCCAGCATTTCAAAAGTATTAAATATTAAATATAGATCAAATCCTGCTTCTCAAATTATATATTTTTATTTTTAGTAAAACTATACAGAACGAAGCGCACTTTCTTTATATCTTCGATCAAACCTCGGCAAATTACAGTCTTAGAAATGCACAGTATACGAAACCCAGGGATCGAACTAATTACGGTACACAGCACCTTACATAGCAGAAATGGCCCAAGCACACATTATTTCGTTTTTCCATTAAAAAAAAAAAAAAGGATTGTAGAATATATACTAAATCACTCATGATTTGCAGTTAGTATGAAGTTGAGAGTTATGTGTTGTTGTGTTTTTTGTGGATTTTAAAATTGCTGTATCTTTGTATATTTATTCTGTTTCTGTTCCTGTTTCTCCTCCGAGTGCTGTAAAAAAGGGGCTGGAGCCTCGTCAGAAGACAGCTCGTCTTCTACTGCCCCAGCCCCCAGACCTGTATCTGAAATAAAAGATACATACATACACTATGTAGTCACAGCTGAGCAAAAGCTGGGCGTTCGCGCTCATTGCTTCGAAATTCGTTCTTCTGCCTTCTTATCGGCTCGTTCAGCAATCTCATTGACTGAGGAGGGATAAGAAGATTCTCTTGAGACGCGCCATTCCCGGCGTTTTCTAAGGTGTCGATTACTTTACATATATATAGTATCTCCTGAACGTCGACATATTGTAATCTGCCTTGCAAAAATGACGGCAGTCTAAATGCACTAGCTGGGTGTCTGGTGCAAGTGCGTCCAGGCTACCTGCCCACACCTTTGTATGACCGACACAAAACACAACGGTGGAATACAATCGACACCGAATAAAACATATCCACCCTACCCCAAAAAAAACAAAAAAATAACGTTTCTCTATCAGGATTATAGAAGGGGTAATCTTATTGGATTCTATCTGGACTTTAAGTTCTCGGAAAATATTTCTTTGTCTGCAATCTGGATTTCATGTTTCTGGTAACAATTCCAACTAGAATTATCGTTCCATAAACCAGATAGCGACAGAGAGAATAAACGTCTTTATTAAAGAGTTGTCCCCGTTCCGGGTACTCTGGAATAAGGAAGGTTATATTGGGCTTTAGGGTAGGGCACGCATTGTTAAGATGTTGAGATGTCCCGTCATCTCAGCGGTTGGGCACGAGCCACTACCTGACTGTGAGTCGAGGCGCTGATTGCCACGAGCCAAACTCGAATGCCTACGCAATGCTTGTTCCTGCTGTATGGGCCAAACTGTGAGCCGTATTTAAATATCGTCACAGTTGGGATCGCAAAGCTTTTGATCAGCATCTAAATATCGTCAGGACGGGGATCGCAAAAGTTGATGACGCAGTCCCTGGTTTCGAATTTTTGGTGTTGTCCCTCCAGCTGCGTTGCCAAGTTTTGCGAAGGAGAACCTTAAAGAAAAGGTCCGCTTTTATACTTGTAATTACACCGCGAAAAAGAAACTTCTTGCTCAGTGGCCTTGCGCTTGAGTGTGCTTGGGCCCCACTAGTGCCAGTATGCTTGTGTAAAGAGAGAAATAGTCCTACTCAATGTCGTTGCACGACCTTCTTAATTAAAAAAAAACAAAAAAAACAGACACACACAAAAAAAAAACAGCAGATCCAATCGACGTGTAACGAGAAGCCGGTCTTTTACCAACCAAATAACGCCTGGCTTGAACTTCGCACACATATTACCTGTAAAAGCAATGCCGCCCACTACTCCGAAAATGGAAAAGCGAACAAGGACGGGAGAAACGCAAGCACTCTTACCCCGAAAACAAGGTCAGATACTTATACGGGACGGGTCAGTTTGGAAGAATCGGTCGGGGGCATCCTCTTTTATTGATAAGGCGTACCTAGCTGGGGTTCGTTTGTGAGAAATCTTGGTAGAGTCGTTTGGCGTGGTTTTATGGGTCCATATTTTTTATTTCGATATCCGAACTCCGTATAGGTGCGAATAGCACGACCAAATACGTTCAGTAAAAAAATAGCTTTTTTAGGCTTTGGATTGCAGGCAAAACTGTATCTTTGGTTGTTGAACAAGGTTGTCAAATGCAAGTCCCCAGAGATAACGCGTGATCGCCGATAAACTGCCCGCCGCGTTATCGTGGTTCTGAACGGGTTGTTCACGAACCGCATCCGCGACCACTTCGCGAACTCGGCTCAACCGACGTCGCGAATGTGACACAAATCCAGCCACAGCCTTCGCTACGATCCGGTGGAGACAGTCCAACAGTACTAAAAGTGAATCGTCATGGCGTTTTTTTTGTGTGTGTTATTATTACTGCCCCTGTGCATGCCTTGATCTTGGACTGGTTTGGAGCGCACGTATATAAAGTTCGCAACGTCGCCACGGTATGGCGCCACAGCCCCTCTGGCTGAGAAAAGTACATCTCGGTGCGGCCTCTCGAGGCTGGATGATATTTATCAAGAGGCCTTGACATAACCCTTTAACCATTAAAGTACGTCTCAGGGGGAAATAAACTTTCAATGGATCCCCAGGCTCGTGCACGAACATACGAGGGGCGTTCATAAAGTTCGTATTATCGGCACAAAAAAAAAAAAAAAAAACGAAATAAAACAGGCATCAACATGAGCGCTCGTACCTCTAGTTTCCGCACAGTTAAACATCACATAGCTATAGTAGCGGTTCACGCCGCTACGGTGTCGAAACAAAAATGGCACCGCCCGTCGGCGCCAAGCACATGCAGTGATCAATTATTTTCCATTTGAAGGGAGGTAATGCCAAGGATATTCACTCCAATATGGGAGCGTTGTTCGGGGATAACGCACGCACACAAGGACGGCGAGCATTCCTGGTCCTCTCAAGTGCAGAGAGCACGCCGTGACGTTGTGCCTTTTTCGCTGTTTGATTGGCCCTTTGGCTCATAACATCGGCCGTGCTCGGACCTCTGGTGCAACGAAGTATATAACAATGGCCTCCGGCATGTTGTCCATCGCTGGAAAAAGTGCGCATACCTTTTGGTGGCGAACATGTAGAGAACGTCGTAACTCCTACTCGAGTTTGACTGCTGAATCTCTATGGCTTCGTGTCAATGGTACGAACTTTATAACGCCCCTCGTAGTTTGAGCTTGCCCGTTACAAAGGGAATAGTCGTAACCTCATCATCATCATCATGTGTGTAAACTGTCTATGAAACACCTTCTTTAAGCAGCGACAGATTGCGGTGGGCTGCATATTTCGAGAGACCTGGCAATAGGACGCATAACGTCGGAGGCCGCACTGGACTGGTTGGTTATAGGGAACGATGCCGGTGACGTACACTCTAAAAAAAAAAAAATAAATAAAAAAAAGTGTCGTCTTACAATTTTTTTGTCTCATATAGTGCACCCCAATCATTTTGTTCGGCGTAACAAGAGTGTAAGAATGTCTCTTTTCTTTATAAGAGAGTAACGCCTAGCAACCGAAGATCTCCGGCGACGTCCTTCTTTGCCTATTTTGGCACCGCGTAGTGGGGGACGGCGGGTGTATCACTGGGGCGCGTGTTAAGCGCGAAACACATGTACGACGAAACCGTCCGATCCGACGTCCGACCGCGCAATACGACGGTCGGAGGCGAGGGTTTTCAACGCTCTCCGATGCTACGAACACCCTCTCCCCCCAAGGTCATTCCGGCAGTCCGCACGTCGGATCGGAAGGTTTTCGTCGTACATGTGTTCCGCGCTTTAGCCCAACCCGCCCCCCCCCCCCCCCCCCCTACCTCACCCCCGTTCAGGCCGCTTCGCGACGACAGTCTGCGATGGCTCCTTACAAAATATTGACCCACCTCGGGCCACCCGTTCACACGCCCCTCCGGCGGCCCAAGTAGGCCCTAGTCCCGCTGTCCTCCACTGCACCTCGGTCGTTATACGTGTTACGTCACGCCGTCGCTCTCTAGAATCCAGCGCGGTCCTCGTCCTTCATGCAGGCGACAAGTCTCCTGATCTGCTTGCACCAAGGAGAAGAAACGTTTCGGGAATGTTCACACCGCGGGAATGTGCTGACAGGCTGCATTCCACATGTTTTGTTATAAATAACCACTGCGCGAGATGCTCAAGCATATCTGCGAGAATCTGCTAAAAAAAACAGTTTCGGCGCTTTTTTTTTTTTTTTTTGGGGGGGGGAATAGTTGGGAGATGGGGGAGGGGTGCGTTTCGAATGACTAAATTAATCACGCCAAAAAAGACAGCCCGGGGTCACGGCGCATACACTGATTGATTGATTTAGTCGGCGAGAGAAGAACGACGATGAGTGTCGTGACGATGCGCTTTTGGGGCTGCGCGATCGGCTCCTCCGGGTGGTAGCGTCGACGGCAGTCTGACTTCAAGGAACACTGAACTAAACATTTTAGTGTCCATAATGAGTGGTGGACGACATTTCCCCGAGCCAGCGGCCGCCGGTGTGCGCCGGTGGGAGAATTAAAAACCGGATTTTTATCTCCGCGAGGGAAAGCCAAGCGCTCCTTAGATTCATCGCATACATTTTACACAATGAATTACACTGCGGAGGTGAAAAGCCCGTTTTTATAATCCTTTTCCCCCGAAATCCATCAATACGTGTGCTCGCAGGTCACTCGCGGCTGCTGGCTCGCGGAAATGTCGTGCGCCACTTATAATGGACACTGAAATGTTTGCTTCAGCATCCATTTAAAGTGAAACGAAGTATTTTGGGGATTTTCAAATGGACTCCGCTGTTAGTAGAGGTGATCGACGCAACATTCCTCATGTGAGAGTTCAAGAAAGATTTGAAATCTCTCCTGCAGAGTGATACGGCG